TGTTAGAAGTAGAAATCTTTCCCATCTTGTCAATAAGATCGAGATAGACGGGTCAGTTTTCACATATGCAAAAAGTACTCAAGATTAGATTAAAGAAGTTGAGTTAGCTACTAATACTTTCTTAATATTATGGTAGACATCAGTGACGGATCCAGAATTTTGAATCAGTATGGGCGGATGTTGATCGTCGACTGTCAGCCGCAATAAAATATTAAGAGTCCCGTTTGAAGTCTTCTTTTGCAAAAAAAATGTATTTTGGAATAGTGATTTGATGGAAAATGTCTGGTTAAAAATAAAGAAAAGTTTTGAATTTGCGTGTAATATTATTTTATTGAAGAATGTATGAATGAAAAGAAGAGAGAGAAAAATATATTTTCAAATAAATGGAAATCAAATGTGGCCTAAAATTTAAATATAACAATTATTTTGTTCAAATTGAATATATATAACTCTATTATAAGAATAAACCGTATTCATCAAATGACATTGTTGTCAATTTTGTATAATTCGTAGGAAGAATACGAGTTCGAATTTTTACAATTGCATTAAAACCGCTAAAACCTAACATAAGCTTTCAATAAACTTAGACTTACATGTTCGAATCCCCTTAGGCACCCTCCCTAATGCATTAATTTTGGTAAAAAATATTGCACAACAAATAAATTAGTTGGTAGGGAATTCGAACCTAGAACTTTCAATATGTACATGCAAGCTCTGACCAAGTTAGCTAAAAAAAATGTTTAAAATTAAAATGAATTATTAGTAATATAAGTTAAAAAGTTTATCTATTGTCAAAAATAAAATAAAATAAAATAATTGCTCCTTGCCTATTTAGCACGCACAGCCGCAGGTGCTCGCTAGATATTTGATCCATCACTGGTATATATTGACACGTCCTAAATATTATGATCTTGAAGATGGTGAAATTCACAGTCATAGACATAACTCCAACCCAACAATCAGGAAAATAACATACGAGGTCTTAACTGGAACTCAATCTTTTACCATGAATAAACCTCATGGGAAAGATTTTTTTTTTTTTTTTTCATTTATAAAATTTTATAGGTTCCATATTGCAAAAACAATTGACTTGAAAATCGAAAGCACAACCTATGGCGACCTCGTGTAAAGACGCTTTGCAATTTTTCTTTAATTGTCTTTTCTTTTTCTTTTTTTCTTCTCTCTCTCTTTTTAAAGTTCTCAAAGTTGTCCAGATATGCTCGACACAATTGCACGCTAACAATACGAGCAATTGGCAAATGTATGAATATATACTTTTCTTTATCTTACTAATCCTCCAATGAACAGAATCACATATTTTCTTTTAATAACAATGAAATAACTATTATTTGAGTCTAGGTTCCCTTTTATTAATTTTTTTTATACATAATATATTTTTTCTAAATTATTGTTCCCCCAATGCGTGGTCACGCACGAAGCACGTAATATCAAGCCCTGCACGTGTCTCCTCAAATCGCAAAAGCACATTGGTTCACGTGGCTTGCAATATTAATCTTCTTGTATTTTAATACTGATCCTTTTTCTCCAATCCCCCTTTTAATAAAAAAATTCAAATCGAACCCCAAATGTTTGTTTTTAATACTCTTTACCACGGAGTTAATGAGTTTGAGGACGTAAACTTCATTTTTGACAATATTTAGATGTTTGATTTAACATGATGTAAATTAAAATTATTTTGTAATTTAAATCCAAATAACAAAAATTTTAAAATTGTTTTTTAAAACATATTTTAATTGAAGTACCAACATATTTTAATTGAAGTACCAACATTTGGGTAGATACGAAAATAAGTGCCTCGGCTATAGAGCGAGGGAAGAGCCACCTTCATAAAAGAGTGAGATGTTGAAATGTTATGGGCGGTTTAGTTTTGTCTTCATACCTTACAAATCATTTTCATAGTTCAACGTAACACTACGTAGTAACGGTCCAACATTTTCAAATTCAATTTACTTTATATATATATATCGACTTCTTAATATACTTTATATAATGCTGTTTGTACAATCCATATAGTATTTTAGAAATGACGGATTGATAAAAGTTGTGAAAAGTATATGAACCATTCTACAAGTATATGGATTAGGGCATTCGAGTAAAAATATATTGACTTCTTAATACTTTGTATAATATTTCCCAATATCAATATATCACAAAGTCATACTTGGATTTTAAAAATGACATAGTAAATCTTGAATATACATTTAGCCCTGGTTTGTTTTTCATTATTTGTCTATTAAAATGAAAAATATGACTGTTATTCATCACATCAAATCACTATCTTTGACTTTCTATATTTTATGTAGAGCCCGTACGGCTATTTTTTCATTCTCATTTTTGCATTAATGTGTACCAAACGGAACCTATGACCCTAAAAGTTAGTTAATCAGTACATCTAATTGTCAAGTGTTTGTAGTTAGGGGCAAAGTTAGGGTTTTCTATTATTATTTTTTTCGATTACAAAAAAATTGCAAGGAAAAAAATGAGGCCAACCATGCCCTAACTCCGCCACTAAATGTAATGTTAGTCCATTAAGCTGATTATGAAATTGAGAGTTAAAGATAGAAGAGGATGAAAATGAAATAGATAATCACGCGCGTAGTACTATTTTATTGGTAGGTTTTGTTTTAATTATGTATTTTATTGACGAATTATTGGGAAAAAAAGTTATTTGCTTAATTAAATTTGGCGCGTTTTCAATCATTTGTATAAGTATCAACCAGTATAAATACTACATTAGTCCAATAATTTGATCAATATCTTTTGGTGACTGGTGTTCGTTAATTCGAGCACACGTGTGAGGGATTAATTGAGAAGGGATTGATAATATGATTTAGTGGATGTTTGGTGGAAATTAAAATTAAATTTTTTTTAGTAGATTATGAGAAAAAAAAATTGAAATGTGTAGTTGAAAAGTTGTGGGATTTATAAAAAATATGATTAATATTGATTGTTTGACTTTTACTTAAATTAAAATCAGATTTTAATTCAAACCAAACATTCTCTTACTCTTTTTTATTTTCACGCTTATGTGTTTCCGACAAAAATAATAAGAGTAGAATCATTTCAGCAAAGGATTATTGTTGATGCATTTTTTTCCTCTTCTTTTCCCCTTTTTTTCTATCAAGAAACAACGAGGACTAACTGTACAACAAAATTAAAATGTTGAATGCCGAGAGCCCGAGATGCTCTTTTTAATAAGGTTGATGACCAAAGTGCAATAAAAGTAAAAAAAGTTTGATTTCTCTACTGCTATTTTTTTTTTTTTTTCCTTCAATAATTGTACACTATCATGTGAAGATTAGCCATAGAGTTGGGACCCACTTTTGGTCCCCAAAAGCATCACGTGAACAAGATTTTCAAAAATTAAATTTGGGACCCACAAGATTAATCAAGATTAGGGTTTTGGAATCATGTTTAATCTTACACTCTACTCAACGCATTTAGGACCCATTTAATTTCAATCAACCACTTATACCTCAGACAAAAACAAAACCTTTGAATCCTCGTACTCCCTCGTTTGCCCCAATTCTCATTGTTTTTCCTCTTTCATTTTCAACAATATAATCTTTCATAAAATAATATTATACGTAAATAAAAAAGATTTCATTCTTTTTCAACCACACATTTAAAAAAAAAAAACACTATTACAACTATTAAAATTTGAAAAGAATGGAGGTCAAATGGGAGAAATTGCTTTAATGTCCTCATATTTAGTATATAAAAACAAGAAAAATGAATTAATATTTTGAATTTAGATCTAACAATATAAATATATTTAATTATTTACAAAGAATTTCGTTACTTTGTGATCGTTATATTTATTGTTGTCATTTGTGAAACTTTGATTGTTTAGTTCGATTCATTGTTATGTTGACTGATAGATCACTAAGCTCGAAGATACTTAGAGAAGAGAAATTAACAAAAGACCAATTAGGTTACTTTTTAGACCAATCGTTTTAGAATAAATAATAAATGGATAATTAAAGGTTTAATATTAATAGATAGACAATAATATGAAGGATGTAAAAAATTAAGAACGTGAATAAAAAAAAATGAAGTTTGACATTTATTAATAAATATTTACATATTAAAAGTGTTTATATTAAATTCACAATGATGGGAACTATTTTCGACCCCATTTTGTGACATACATTTTGATAATATTGTTGGCTAATAAGAATAAACTTTAATGAAATTTCTCAAGATGCTTTCGAAACTATTGGTGTTGGATTTTTTTCCTTTTAAATTAATGTTCTATTTTTGTGACTTGACTGATGGAAATTGTTATATCTGACAAAATGGATTCAGTGTACATGTTATTTGTTAATTAGGATAATGATTTCTATTGCCCGAGTTACTTCATCACAACAATGTAAATGGGAACGTATTATGATCAGGGATGTAAATTGTCAAGAATTTTCGAAGAGACGGGATGTTAATAAAAAACTATTATTTCGCGTCTTGTTTACTTAATTATTTATATTTCTAACATAAATTTTTAATTTTATAAATATAATTTAAATTGAAAAATATAAAAAAATTTAGATCCTGTAAGATGAAAACATGACGGTTTAGGAATTTCATGATGAGGCCCGTCCCCATCCCATTTTCTTTTGAGAAGGGAAGAGGAATTTTGTCATCTCTATTTCGTAAACTTTCATAATATTATAAATGAAATGACGAATCAGAAACATAAATTAACTTGATATGTAAATTGAAGTTTGGTGACTTCTATTTAAAATTTGGGCACACTCTATTCTTGTTATATTAGGTAAATAAAATCATTTTTCAAATAGGTTTTTTCAGTTTACCAATTAGATCACATTTTTCAGACCACAACAATTTCTGACAAGAGAAACCTTAAAATTGACTAAAGATAAAGATAAACATCACTTTCTCGTGAATTGCATCTGAAACCTTTAACCTAACCATGGTTACTTTGTGACCTCAATTAAATCATTAACTAAACCTCGTGCAAAAAACAGCAGTTGGGATTTAGGGGAAACAAAATAGCGCAAAAGAAAGAACCTCCAAACGTCCCAACTTCTCTGAATCTGGTCCAGCTCTCCACCCATCCTGAAAGGAAAAGGGGAAAAAAAAATTTACTACTGAATCCTCACTTTCTTGGCCAATCTGTGATTTTAGAAACTCAGAGATTGGTGGGTTTTTTTTGTTCAATTTATGTTCCTTATCATTTGTTTCAATTCATTTGAAATTTATATATATAGGTGCATATTTTTTATGATTTTCTTTTGTAATGTCTGTTTTTGTAGATTTATGGCCTTCGGGATCGGAAACTAGAAGTATTACGAATTGGGTATTTGCCAAAAAGATCAATTTTTGTTTTCAAGAGGGAACGTTGGTTTTTGTTGGATTGATTTGTGATTCAAAATTGTTGTAATAAAAGTTTGCGTTTTGTTGTCTTCTTGTCGTGCTACTGTGTATATAAGGTTGCCTGTCTGTTTGGCTTGTGTTTGGAGTTGAGAGATGGGTGGAATTTTGTGGAATGATGAGGATAAGGCTACGGTGGCTGTGGTTTTTGGAACTAAGGCTTTTGATTACTTGATGTCAAGCTCGGTTTTGGCCGAATGTTCATTAATGGCAATGGGAAGTGATGAGAATTTACAGAATAAGCTTTCAGATCTTGTGGAGCATCCTAATGCAGCCAGTTTTAGTTGGAATTATGCAATTTTCTGGCAACTTTCGCGATCGAAGTCCGGTGACTTGGTCCTAGGATGGGGGGACGGGTGTTGTCGAGAGCCTCGTGAAGGTGAAGAGTCTGAAGCAACTCGGATTTTGAATTTTAGACTCGAGGATGAGACTCAGCAAAGGATGAGGAAAAGAGTTCTTCAGAAGTTACACACACGGTTTGGGGGAACCGAGGAAGATAATTATGCTTTTGGACTGGATAAGGTTACGGATACTGAAATCTTCTTCCTTGCGTCCATGTACTTTTCTTTCCCTCGGGGAGAAGGTGGCCCAGGAAAGTGTTTTGGATCTGGAAAACATGTTTGGTTATCGGATGCATTGAAGTCCTCGTTTGATTACTGCGTAAGGTCGTTTCTTGCAAAATCTGCTGGTATGCAAACAATTGTTTTGGTTCCTACTGACGTTGGAGTGGTGGAATTAGGATCCGTGAGACCGGTCCCAGAAAGCTTGGAACTTGTGCAGATGATAAGATCTTCCTTTTCTTCACATTCGTCCCTTATCAGGACAAATCAAGCCGTGGCTCAGCCTGTGGGAATTGATAGAAAAGATGGAGATGGCCCAAATTCTAATTTGGTAATTGGTAGTCGCCCAGGAGTAGTGCCTAAGATTTTTGGTCAGGATATGAATTCCGGTTCTGTGCAGTTCAGGGAAAAGCTTGCTAGTAGGAAATTGGATGATAGGCCATGTGACGTATACGGAAATGGGAACAGGCTGCCATTCGCACATGCTAGGAGCGGTTTTCATTGTTCAACTTGGACGCAATTGGGTAATGTAAAGCCAGGGAACCCGGTAGAAATTTACAGTCCTCAGACCGCAGCAAAAAACCAATACGAGCTTGTTAGCAGGGCAAAGGAAGAGTTTCAACTCAGCAGTTTTCAGCATCAAAAGCCGGGGCAAATGCAGATTGATTTTACGGGAGCAACTCCGAGACCTATAACTTCCGGACCTCTAAATGTTGATTCTCATCGTTTAGACGCTGAGGTTTCATGCAATGAAGATCTCCTTGATGAGAGGAGGCCACGAAAACGTGGTAGAAAGCCTGCCAATGGAAGAGAAGAGGCTCTCAATCACGTTGAGGCAGAGAGGCAACGGCGAGAGAAACTCAACCAACGGTTTTACGCATTACGAGCAGTTGTGCCAAATATTTCCAAGATGGACAAAGCATCCCTTTTGGGAGATGCCATTGCTTACATAACCGAACTGCAGAAGAAGCTGAAGGATATAGAGTTGGAGAAGGAAAAATTAGGAAATATCTCACAAGAGGCAAAGATTTCGGAAACAAAACCAAATTCGGAAAGGCAGGATCAACCTCCTAGCATTGACATTCGGTCGGTCCATGATGAAGTCATTGTTAGGGTGAGCTGTCCGTTGGATGCCCATCCGGTATCATGGGTCTATCAAGCAATTAAGGATGCAGAGGCAACCATTGTTGAGTCAAAGATCGCCACTGGCAATGACCATGTTTTTCACACATTTGTCGTCAAGTCACATGGATTAGAGCGAATAACTGAGGAAAAATTGATTGAAGCATTTTCCCGTGAGTCCAATCCCCGTCAAGCATCAAAATCTGTTGGATAACAGTAATATTGTCTTTAACAAAGGCTTAATGGGTACTGGGTAGTGCATCAATATGTGGAAATTGCCTGAAGTTTTTTTTTTTTTTTTTTTTTTTTTTGAAATACAGGAATTAATAGTAGGAGTAGAAAAATAACTCCGTCTACTGTATAGGATAGCATTTTATTATTGTTTATATGACACATTTTGTCATGAAGAGTAATTTTGGAAGATAATATTAAATTATTATGTTTAACTGGTTTGTTAAGAAGTTGTTAACTTTCTTTGAGTTCCTTAATGTTCTTTGGGTGCCAGCCTGTCTTTCTTATGTTTTGGCTGATATTATTTTAGTTGCTGTGTTTGAGAGTACAGAAATTTGGTTTTCCTTTGTTCACTCTGGATGATGGTCTCTCACTCTATCAAGGAACGTAGGGGACTGGCAAAGAATGATTCTGCCTCTAACTAAATTTATTGAGAATAAGGTTTAGTTTGTTGTCGTTGTTTGTACGGGATCGGAAGAGGAAATATGTAACAATTATAGAGGCGTATTTATGTCAACAAATGTATGTGATAGTTGACAGCTCTGAGAAGAAATAAGGTGATTAACACATGGGTAGTTGGGGTTTGTCTTGTACAGACTGACTGAAAGAAGTTCATAGTCGTACGAACAGTTTGATCATAGCAAACTAAGCTAGAATATGAAGGGGGGAACTTAATTTTATATAGCCAATTACGGTGAGGTTTTTATTGTATTTGATAAGTTAGATTTAACATTCAAGTAACAATTATTTAACTGTCGAACTATCAACTGTACGGTAAAGAAAGATCCGAGTATAATTCATAAGTTGGGTCAAAAAATAGCAGCAATAATTGGGGCCGTTAAAATGAATGGCATGTTTGGTACTATCGGACAACCTTGAATAAAAAAAAGAAGTTATGACCTTATTTATTGTACTGTTCAATAATTTGCACCGAACCCTCAACCCCTCTCTCCCGAAGCATGGGGAAAGTTGAAAAGAATGTTAGATTTAAATGATGTTGACTAATTTTTTGTGCATGTAATAGCATTTTCTACGAAGGTGGTGAGCTTTCTATTCTTGTACGACCCTTTCTTTTTAGATGAAGAAGACTGGGACGTGGTAACAAGTGTGTGAACTATTTGAAAACTTGTGGATAGGTTCATCGTTCACCGCGTAAGTAAGATTCTTTCGTGCGTAAATAAAGATACCTCAATATTATCACATCAATTTTTGCAATTTGTGATGCAACATCCTATTTGTGTGGCCAAATATGAAGTAAAATGAGAGCCTATCATTTTTGTCGCATGATCCTTGCGGGTCAGTGGTTGGCGACCGACAAAAGAAATGACGTAGGATCATCCGACAACGTGAATTGTATGGTAAACATTACTCCAAAATTATTGACAAAATGAGAATTTATATATGATTTTAGAAGGTATCGAGATATTAAATGGGCGAAATAGAAATGTTCAGGCCAGACTTACTATCCGTAGATATTTGGCGAGGACCGAATCTGCTCGGTTAGTCATCGAAAGGTGAATGAAGATGGTCATGTTCCAGCAAAACATGCCATTTTTTTTAAACGATTTCCTTCATGTAGGGTTCAAATTCACTAAATTAAATGGGAAGTGTTATATATACATAATTATCTACATAATGATGTCTACAATTACACATGGTACTGGATTCAACCTTTAATTCAAATCTAACACTTTCACATCAATAACCGGATGATTGCCACATCACATTATGGACACCATTATGTGCAATAACTATGTACAAGTAGAATTTTTCAAATTAAATTGGTTGAGGAGAACCCGAACCTCACCTTTTGATGTCCATTAGGAATGACAGAGATGGAGCAAGGTGAACATTATCATCCTTGTCCCTTCGAGAATTTTTGGGAGTCGAGATTCCTTTGGAAGACGTCTTTAATTGTTCATTATACTTTTAAAAATATCTTTGATTACTCACTATAATTTAAGGTGGTTGAGTTTTAGCTACTAAACTTGTAAAAATTAAGGCCCGCTTATCTTAAAAATTTAGGAATGTTGTTCCAAGTATCAATCGCATACAACAAAAATTGATCTATATTCAAAATTAGGTTTTTTTAAAAGAAAATTAATGGTAAGAGCTAGAATTTGCGAAATTTTAGTTTTAAATCTATATTAAAATCAAAATATTTTGATGCTTTATCCCCTCGTGCATTATATATGTTGAAGAAGTTAATTTGGACAATTTACAATTTGTCAGATAAATGCTGATTGACATTTGCAGTTACTAATTAAAATAGAACGACGAAGAGGGATAGAATAGAATGACAAGAAAATATTGACAATTCTGATGACTAATTTTAACAAAAATATGTATGATATTCACCCAAAATATTCATAATCTATATTTACAGCAAACTTTAAAACCAAAATCTCTGTAGCAAAAAACTTATTAAAAATCATCAAAAACATCCACCATAATTATATGCATCAATGAAGAACATTTGCAGTTACTAATTACATTAAAAAAAAACAAAAAGAGTCCAAAAGTCATCAATTAAAAAAAAGTATGTAACAGCAACATCCAATTCATCAGATCCTGTCATAAATTTAAGGAAGTACATTCCTCATCTTTTTTGTGTTTTTCCCCTCTGTTTATCCACCCATTTAGGAGTTTCCATTGGAAGAGCATCACAATTGGACACAAAAAAGAACCATTCATCGGATTGAGTATGTTTTCCATAGCAAGTCGGGTAAGTTTTCGTTGAATAGTGCTAAATTAGATTTTGTCGTATGCAAGCGATACTTAGAACAGTATTCCTAAATTTTCAAGATTGTCTGAAATCATTTTATAAGTTTAGTGATCAAAACTCGACCATCTTAAAATACAGTGAGCAATTAAAGACGCTTCTAAAAATACAACGAGCAATCAAAAACATCTTCCGAAGTAAAGGGAGCAATCAAAGACGCATTTCTTACCTGGCAAATTGCATAAAAGTGTTTGGGCCCCCACTTGTCCATTCCGTTTGCATCTCACCATTTCAATTATAGTTGAGAAATGGATGTCATGTTAGTGAGGAACGTCAATATTTTGATAAATTTAGTAGCCAAAATATAATATTTGACATTTTAGTGAGTAGTCGAATACAGAAACATAAGTTTAGTATGGGACAATTAACTCTCCAATACTCAAAATTGTGAATAGTTTCCATTAAATATGAAAATTCATGGGGTCAAAATATTAAATCCCTGTTTTGTGATATTCAAATGTCAAATTTTAATTTAAGTCAAAATTAGCAATTCATTTTAACTACACATTTTATCTGATCCACAATATTTAAATACACATTTGATTAACTTTTATCAAATTTTACTAAAAATCTCATTTTAATCCCACCAAAGAGGGCTAAGTGTAACTCAGCTAATCACCATTTTAATTGCAGTTTAAACCTAAAAACACTTGATTCCTAGGTTTGCAAGAGTTTACAATTTGTAGATTACAAAGTCTCCAGTGGGTGTCTCAAAACTGCGAATAGGTTTCATTAAAGATGAAACTTCATGAGGTCAAAATATTAAGACGGATGTATTCATTTGAAACTTTTAAAGATTTTTGAGAATTTAAAAAGTTTAAATGTATTTAATTGGAGTTTATATATACTTTTAAAAAGTCTTTAAAAGTTATGATGTATTCAATTGAATTTTTTTAGAAGTGTTTATATAAGAATTCTAGAGACTTTTTGATGAAAAATATATATAGTAAATCTAAAAGAAAATCTCTCATATACTTTGAAATTTTGTAAAATTTAAAAAAAAAAAAAAAAAAAAAAAATGTATTTTTTCTTTCAATTTTAGAATTTTCTTATATATCTTCAATTCATTTGCTATAGTCAACTTATGATTATTCTATATGTATATAATTACTTTTGAATTTAAGTTATATGCAATTATTTCAAAACTTTGAATTCCATGTAATCGATTTATTCCCTTTTTTTTTTGGTTAAGAACAATTTGTGCTTTTAGAAAATATATTAATTTCATGAAAATTTTCTGGTTATATTCTTAGAAATTGATGTAAATGTTTGTTATTATTTTATTTGCATCAAAATAGAATCATTGGACCGTGACTAGTGATTTTAGGTATATGCAGACAGAGCAAAAGTATTTTCTGGTCCGACATTCGTGTACGCAGGTCGCGCTCGCACACAAGTTCAAGGTCCGAAGGCAATTTCGGTTCATGATTTGCACCCTTTGCGAGCGCACGTGGAGAGATCATCTATGCTACACGTGATTACACCATTCCAATGTGAAATCCTATATAAAGTGGATAATACTTTCTTTATTTTCCTATATGGGACTAGTTTTATTTTCCCACATAAACTATCTTCCAATGGTTATCTTTGAACTCCAATTTCTCATTCATTCATTCATCAATTTTGGCAAATAAATATATGGTTTCAATGCTCTCACGGAGGAGAACAATGATCAACTTTGATCTTCTAATTTGGACCAACGGATCCCAACTAAAATCTTGTCAAAATTGAGTCATTTACTCACTTTTTCCAACAAGCATAACCTTAATTCCACAACTCAAAGAAGCCACTCCATTTTCTAGATATGACTATGAATATTGACGTCCAATGAAGTACGTTGCGTGAAACACTTAACAAGACGGCATATCATAGAATTAAATTTATATGCATGAACTTCTCTTGTCTTGATTAGGGCTCTTCACATGACTAATATACATAGCACGCTCAATTGAAACATGGTTCTAAATAAAAGCACTAAGGCCGTACATCAAGGATATACTTTGAGCTATTTTGGCTCATCTCGTGAGGCACTTTTTGCTCATTTATTTGAGACACATTTGGCTCCTTATGGACAACTTAATTGGCCCTTGGCCTTACTGATTAAAATTTGGAAACACCTTTGGCTCTATGGTGTACAAACATATTTAGGGGATCTTAGTGTGTGATAAAAATGTCTTTGTTCACATGCGTAATAATTTCTTGAATCAAAGTGAACATAAGGAAAATTGAAGCAATTTTCTCCAAAATTCAAATGAGAAAGTAAGAGAGAACACATAATTTATGCATTTTGTAACTCAGCATTTTTTTTCTTTTAAGGCACATAAATGTAAATTATTCGCACTACCCAAAGTGGGGCTTCCTTGTTAAATTTAAAAGTGAAGGTTTTTTGGAGTTAAAATGAGTAGAAAAATAGTCTTAAAAAGTATTTTTTTG